GTTATAATGCATAATTCAGCGCAGCTGGTTAACACGGCGTTTTGAAATCACCAACTTGCTCCTAAATAACTAGAATACAATCTTTGCAGTTACAGCTTTGCGAAACCTAAACGCCGGTAGTGTACCATATATCCTGATCATTCATATTCCCTTGAGCAAGCCGGTTTTCCTGTTCAGTGGCGGAGATGGTACTCCTTACGTGCTTTATCAGCAGCGTCTAAAAGTGGGTCGGTATGCCAGTACTATTTTGATCAGCATAATTGCACAGGCTTACAGGCATCTCTGAGCGAAATTGCTGCGACCCCTCCTTACACGTATAGAAATGTGTCCATGATATTGGTGCTTTCCACCATGGAATCATAAGATTTTGTGGTGATTGTATTATCCTTGTGAACAGAGTGATATTGACCGTCAGCACGCTTTTACGAGCATCATAGCAGATACAAATTTTTCTACCTCAGTAGGCTGGATAAATCTAAGAGAACCTTGCAAACGTACCAGAGATGGCCAGAGATGGTCTAAAACGCGGGTGAATGTCGCACTGTATGACGGATACGCTGGACGCTGTTCAGGACACCTGACCTGATAGCTGTTTTTGATCTAGAGTGCACACTGTTGCGAACAACCCACTTGACAAATAGGATTTGCAAGGACAACAGCCACCTGAAGCGATAGAAAAGGTCAAACTGTTCCATTCTCTTCACAGCGTCAAATGATGACAGAAAAGTATTTGTGATGCCTTCGTATTCTGCACTTTTGAAACCTGCCGAATATCGGTCCTGATAAAAGAATCCCTTTCTAAAAAGAGCAAAAATGAACCATTGTCTTGACCAGTTAGCACAGCTATGTTGCATAAATACCCTCGTTGTAACCGAAGACTAAAAATGTTGATTGAACAGCATAGAACGACTATGAACCTGATTCATTAGGAGGATTAATTGATATGATCGTTCATTGATTGACTTTATACTATTCAAGAGCGAATATCGTCATAGATATAGAAGTTGGGAAAATGAGGTTGACTGGTTAGAAAAACTGTTTGCGTATAGACGCTTGTTTCAACCCGCGACCTTCGTATTTGCAGACAACAGCACAACTACCATGCTGTTGAGTGAACAAGACAAAGACAGACCTACCTTTAGAGCGGAAAGCTTCTTCCCTTGTGCTTTATGGGATAGGTATACAGCGGATATTAGAAATGGGAAATGTTCAGTTAATGTAAACCACTCAAGTGATGATCACTGTGAATAGTGCTGTCGATGTATCAGCAGTGAAAGAGATTAAATGCAGTGAATTTAGTAAAACAGTGTGTAGTTTTAAAACGCTTAAAGTTTTAATCAGCATCTGTACTACTCCGACTCGTCTTTGTTACTAATAATGGACAGTATTAATGCAACCTGAATATCGGGTGCTAATTAAACTGTTTTCACTAGTTTTCATGGACCAGTTTTGCAGACAGAAGATTCCCTCTTGACTGCATCCATAACATCAGTGTTGTTGCTTTGATGCCGTTTTGTTTTCAGGCTGGATTTTACATCCCTCTGCTCATTGTGAAAGCACGAAAGTTTGGAGCCCTCTATTCTCTTGGCAGTTTTTTTATGTTACTTAGGTAAGTGGTTTGTTTTGCGGATTATAAAAAAGTTAATGTCCAGCAGTCTGCAACGTGCGTTATCAAAAGCCTTTTGCAATTCTTTGTACTCTGGGTATTGATCACAATACCATGCACTGGTCATAGAAGCAATCGAAGTTGCTATATAAGACGAAAAGTAGACGAAACCGTATTCGAAAGGCACTTATTCACGGGCTGTTGGATATCATCGACGATTTGATACACTTCCATAGGAAATTTTATGGCAGCTAAGCCTTATCAAACAGCAAGCTATGCAGAATGGCTAATTTTAATTAATTGCAAATGGTAGCGCACCATATTACAAAACAGTGTTATTTCTTTATAACCGTACGAAGCGAAACAGCTTTACGGTAAAGACAACTAGATGAAAATTTCTGTTGCCGCATCCAAACCGCATATTTTTACCTTTTCGCCCTTTCTGGAATTTACACTGTATACTTGCTTGCAGTAGTGAATTTCGGTGGCTAATAAGCCCTTCTCCTGCACATTAGGTATACCGCCAAAATGTATCGAAAATATTTGGTTATAGATTTGACTAAAGATTTCAGGCTCGTTATAAGACACCGTCTGTTTGCGATGTACTGAATTTAGCAGCGTTTCTTTTTAGTTTCGTTATTCTTCTGGGACCACGATCGTTTTTTGGCCTACTTTTTTCTCAAGACCGGTCACTACTGACCTGCGGCTATTTTCTTTCACTCTTCGGCACGCTGTATTGCTCAGTGTGGGTAAGTAGATGTTTTTTGAAGAAGCAAGTGCGATTTTATTTCACAGCCACGAATTGCACCGATAATTTTTAATGACAGCGAATTGGTTCATAAATAATAAATCACTTATCAGAGAAATATGATTCAATTACTTTTTTCTTGATATATTCTAGAATAAGGGACTCTCATGGGCTACCATGAACTCAGTCTCTTCAGATGCGTGTAGCGACTAATGCCATTGCATAATAGCTTTTAAGATTCCATTAAGTCAGCTTGCTTTGATGATTGCCTGTCCTTTCAGTTCGCGAAGGTAGCAATATCAGACATTGTCTCCAGCGTTCCTGATTTTGTACTAGCCTTTGAGCTTCGGCAGAGGAATACTTTAGCCTGCCGAGGCGCTTGTTCCAGGTCATTCTTGACTGTTCTGTTGGGGAAAGAGTAGCTGATTCGTTATCCTTTCTGTAAGCATTTACAGAACATGTTTAAACTACTGTAGCCGTGACTTCTCAATCTAAAGATATAGCGGTTGCAAACTAATGTTTACTCATATGTCTAAACTCTTTACTCTAACGCATGACTCCAACTTTTGACGTTTTAAATTTTGATTTAAATAACTGTGGTACAAATCGATTTTTTCTACGCAAATGCAATTAATACACATTTCGATGTTTACGTAATGAGTTTGCAACGTGCAGCTAGGCTCAGAATTTCACGTATTGTGTGAGTCTATACATAAGCATACTGTGTGCAACAGTTTGGACGCAACTGCTTATTTACACTGATTTTGTAGATGTCTTAACCCCTGCGTACCGACTGGTGTCAGTAGACTTTTTTTATGTAGACTTAAATCCATGTGGTTTGTCATAGGGTATTTAATTTCAAAAATTAGAATCGTACCTGACTTCGCCTTTGACGAGTTACCCCTGAACAGAATTTTTTCGATTTGTGAGTTACAGACCATGCAAGTGTCTGTTCATACTCATTTCTATAATAACGTTGCTGGTGTTATTCGATTTTCATGTGAACTGTATGATGTGTAAATTGTATGCCTTTAAATTCGTTTTATTTCTGCGATTTATGTTGAAATATTTACTTTCGAACTCTGAAAGTCTGGAAAGAAATTACCGAGTCCGCATTAGTATCGCCCTATTATTTCAACGTTTCGAAGTCCATTATAATCATGGCCGCTGCAGTACTACCCTAAAACCGTAAATTCAACCCTATTTCTTTCTGATATACGAACAGCCTTGCGTAGGGCTTTAACGCGTCGTTTCGTTTGTTATGCTGAGTACCCTGCTGCACCGACAAAACGGCGCAAGACGGAACCGCGCAGACAAAATAGCGCAAAATCTGAACTAAAGAACAATAGTGTATAGTAACTGAGTAACTTCAACAAGTCAGAAGCTTGAAAAGCAAGTCTAAATATTAACGCTGTGAGCGATGCTACGCAAGTCATTACCCAACGGCACTGTTCGAAATTTTATAGTTAAATCATGCAAACGTCGATTTAAACGAATGTATTCTGATTTGGATGCCCCTCGATGCCGGAATCCGGAACGGTATCTCATAATCTTCAATTCGTAATGAGCTTGCTCTTGACAGAAGTGCCGAACAAGTTTGTAAACCGACGGATGATGACAATTGACGGTCTGTTGGAAGGATCGATGCCAGACTTCGACTGCATTGTTCGTGCGTGGGAGGTTGTCGATTATACGATAACGAACGTTCCACAAACCATGGACTTGCGCGTCTACCCCTTCTTTGCCTGCCGATGTATGTATCTTCCCAGTAGTTCATTAAAGATGCCAGAACAGGTGGAAAACTCTCAACTAACTCGTCGAATGCAGCCGGAACGTCAGCAACAGGAACGAAGACTAAAGCTAACAGCATCTTCACGCATATGCGAAACTTTATATCTTCACAGTAGGACGCTGCAAGGTTATAGTCTTGAACCTTGCGCCACATAGTCTGGTCGAGACGAAAAAAGCATCCAACAAGTCTTGTACCCGGGAAAACAGTCGCGCAGGCATTCTGACTTGCTTTCTCGTAGTCCCACATTATGCTTGACAGCGTTATTTCCTTCAGTTTATGAGAAATACGCTTATAGCTGTCTTCTGTTTTGTCCGGCATCATGACGTAGATCAGAGAATAGACAGAACCATCGACTAACGCATGAATGGAAAAGACCTGGAAGAAGAGAGCTGGTACCACTTTCAGAGTTCCATCGATAAACCAGGGAAAGTGCTCTTCAAGGAGATCCAGGTTGGCCATGGCTGCAAAATTCAGAATTCGATGTTCGAACCCAACCTCGCAGACAGAATCGCTGACTGGAAGCCTTCAGCGGAAGGGTGGTAATCCTCTGATTGAAGCTACAACAGGCTAAAGCGTTGACCTTGGAACATGTTTATGCGCTCAGTTTGGAGGAAGAATATGATATCTTCCTTGAGGGCGTGCAGTGTGCTCTGTCCGAAGAGCCGAATACAGAGTACTTAATACCCATGGGCGATTCTAATGCGCATGTCGGACGCTGAAAAGTAGAACGGCGTGATCAGGAAAAACGGCCCTAGCGACCTCAACAATAACGGCATGAAGTTGTTGCGGTTTTGCGCGGACAACGGATTGTCCATTACAAACACCTTCTTCGAGCATCGAAAAGTGCATTAGTACACCTGGTACCGGGAAGCTTGTGCACCGAAGTTGATGATCGATTTGATAATCGTATCGTTTGACCTAAGACGCTCAGTAATAGATGTTCCTGTTAAAAGAGGCGCAGAGCTATCAACCGATCATCACCTTATTGTTGCCACGCTGCGCCGTAAGAAATGGAGTACCATGCGAAAATCCGGTGGCAGAAGCAACCGGACAATCAAATCGGAAACATCGTCTTCGGTGAACACGAGAGCGAAATTTGCAAACAACATCGCACGACGGATTGAACATATCCCAGCGATGACAAGTGATGTTGAAACCGAGTGGCAACTGTTTAAGAGAGGCGTACTCGAGGTTGCCGCGGAATGCTGCAGATATAAGCGGGTTGGCTTGCCGCCTGGAGGTCAGGAAAGATCTTCATGGTGGACACGAGAGGTACAAGTGGCAGTTAGGAGAAGAAAGCAGCGTTCAGGAAATGGCTTGAAAACAAGGAGTCATCTACTCGCGTGCGACATGTCGAGGCACGGAAGGCGGCAGCCATAGCAGTGGCAAAACCCAAGGCTGATTCCTGGGAGAAGTTCGGTGAGGCGTTGAAGTCGAATTTGCACACTACAAACAAAGCATTCTGGCAGACCATCTGCCGACTCCGAGGTGAAAAGGCGGAAATTCTCAGAGTCTTGAAGGACAGACCTGAATCACTCTTACCAAGGATGATGACATTCTTCGGCGATGGAGGGAGTACTTCGAGGAACTCCTTAACCCCGCGCAACGGCAGGAAGACTCGCCTGTAGAGCAGAAGGGCACGGATATTACTATCTCTGAAGATGAAACTATAGAAGCTGTTTAAGGTTTGAAACATTGAAAGACTGTTGGAATTGATGATATCCGCCCTGAATTGGTCAATGCATTGGGCAAAAGTGGCATGTGCTGGCTTACACATGTCTGTGATACTACGATGGCTGCGGTAATGACACTAGCGTACTGGAAAACGGGAGTTATTGTACCCGTGTTAAAGATGGGAGACAACAAGGAATGCTCCAATTATAGGGGCATTACGTTATTGAGCCTCTCAGGTAAACTTTACTCAAAGCTGTTGGAAAGGAGGTGCTGCGGAATAACTGATCTCAAGATGCAAGAAAAGCAGTGTGGCTTCCGGCCCAGTCGAAGAACCTCTGACCATATATTTGCCCTGCGCCAGACTGTTAAGAAATCGTTTAAGTACGCCCGTGCCGTGTACGTGTTTTATGTTCACCTAGAAAAGCCTGTGCCTGGATAGCACGTTAAGTCGAAACCATTCAACGCTCGCACTGGTCTCCACCAAAACTGCATCATTTCCCCTCTCCTGTTTGTGTTATACATGGATAGAATGGTAAGGAGCAGCCAAGACGATGAGTATTGCTGTAGGAGATGTGAAGACGAGAAGGTTGCTGTTTGGAGACGACCTTGTTTTGTTGGCATTTTCTGAAACTGATCTACAGTGA